AGCCTGTACTTCAGGGAGCTGTGGTGTGTTCTGAAGGTTTTTTTTTTTTCCTAAAAGCATTAAAAACCAAAACAAAACAACAACAAAAACCCTCTAGGATACTCCTGATTTTATATATATTTCTTAAACAAAAATACTTAAATATTAAATTTGGTGATTTCAGGAGGTAGAAAACCAACCAATCCCCTTAGATTCAGGAACCCTTAGATTCATTCCTGTGTTGAACAGGTAGTCATTAGAGGCCAGACTCAATAACCTTCCTTTCCAGCCCTAAAATTCTATGATTCAGTGAGAGGTGCTGTATTTTGTAAATGGACAGCTTTGCTGGCTTCCGTGTCCATGTACAAATGTGTTGGAAAAACATTTTTAAAGAATTTGGAATTTGTAATAATGATGAGATCTTCTCAGGACCTCCAGGATGACAAAGAAGCCAAAATGGTGACTGTTTTGGTTGACACCTATTTAGCTATGAACGTGTCTGTCATTGGAATAGGTCTAATAAATATTACAGAAGATTTTGCCTTAGGGTAATAATCATGAAGGTCTAAGATGACCTGCCACAGGTGTCAAATGAGACTTCTAAAGAGAATTTCATGCACTGTTAGTGGGGAAACTAAAAGTTTTGTGTGAAATTCAGTGGATGAAATAGAGTTGTTTAAAAACATTTTGAAGAAAGTGTTAAAAATATGATGTTATGAAATGTTGTCATATTAGTATAAACAAATAAAAAGCTTAAGTACTTTCATTGAAATATCAACAACCCTGGACATCTACACATGTGTATGAAAATTCAAATTCGTAGTCATTAATTCAAGCTCATACATTTACCTGAATCTAGGAGGAATCACTGAAAACAATCTAATACTTATAATATAATTTGAATATTAGCTTACAGATTTTATTTTTTTTGCAGCAACTTAAATTAATTCTTATTATTTCTCTCACTTTCTCCCTCTATGCACATGCATACACAGTTAACTAACACTCAAGAATTATATTTATAAATAGCCTGGCCACTGAGAATCTTGATTTGCCTTATCTGTTGTATCTAACATCAAAGATAAATGTTATCTTTGCTTACCCTTAAGCAAGGTAAGGAAATGGGTTCCTCTATTGGGTGGGGGGGACATGATCTGAATTGTTTGAGACCCTGTCATTAACTGTATTGAAATGCTGTTTACAACACTGAAATTTCAGGAGCTATTAAATTCTTTAAATTTAGTTTGTTACATAGAAACCAAACGTTAAGCTTGTTTTGTTTTGTTCTTGTATTTGTTTTTGTTTTGTGGTCCTGGGAATCGAACCCAGGTCTTCTGCAAGCTAGGTCAGTGCTCTATCATGGAGCTACATCCCCATTCCCCTAATGCTATTCTTGACATAGTAGCTTCCCTGTCCTGTTTATCTTGGGGTGTTAATTCATAAGCTTTTGGAAAGCAGTTATTACTTTGTCCTTTTCATCATTTCTCTTAAGATAATAAAATAAAATAACCTATACCAAGGCTTTAAAATAAATATTTCCCACATATTTCAACACGTGTTATTTCTATTCATAATTCTTAACTAAATTTAGATTTTTATTAATCCAATGTGACCTAAAATTTCTGCATTAACAGCACAATGTGGAATTGGGCTTATTCTCTTTGGCTACAGATAAAGCCATCATCTTGAAAATGGCTCTTTCTGACAAAAAGGTGTTCTTTTGAAATAAAGTCTTATTCACTACATTCCTCTTAGAGTTAATGTGAATTTTAGTGCCTCTAATTTTAGATTGAAGTGAAGTCTAGAATAAAACCCACCAGCTGACAATTGAATTTATAGATAGTTGTGAATATTTCAGGCTTGAATAATAGAGCTGTAGAATTTCAGAGACAGAGAGCGAGAGAATTAAGACTCGCTGTAGTTTTAGGTTATAATGCAATGGTGTCTAGGAAGTGTTCAGTGTAATAAGCTAAGTAGTAATTAGGAGACAACTGTGTTCTTTCAGGGATTCTGTTGAGGTGTCACTCCAAGCCATGGGAGTGTGACTCAATAAGGCAGACCTGCAGCCCCTGTGGTCTCCCCTTGGGCCCCTCTCCACTCATGGGTGAGTGGTAGTTGAAATTGCTGAGAAATAAAAGCAGTAGATTTCTGTGTGTATCACCTCTACCCTTGCCTGTACCACTATTTTTTTTTTTAATGATACTTCTGTTAAAAACTTAGTTGACATTAAGGCATTTCTGCTCTGGACTTTGGAGTCAGACACATGTTCAAATCTACCTCTACTACTTCCTAGCTGCATGACATTTAGGAAATTTCTGAACATCTGAGGCTCAATGCCTGGCATATAAAAAGCATTCGAATAGTGTTAACCCTATTAGTATTTCCACTGGGCAAAGGTATTAATTAAGGAAGCAGTTCATGTTGGAAAAGAACCATGAACAATTTAGAGCACAAATCTAGTTTGTTCACATTCATTTATAGCCAAAATGGCCAGACCTCATTTAGAAGATATTTCCAGGATTCCTAGGACTTCCCTGGCAGTGACTCCTCCCAAATTGCCTGCGTGCATCCAGGATGTTGTAAAGTATGGACTGAGATTTGGGGATGAGACAGCTGGCTGGAGAAACCCCATTTTTCTGAGACATAAACAGCATGCATTTGACACACACACTTTGGGTGACTTAGCAAATAACTCTTCCATAAACAAAGAGGTAATTTCTGACCTTGTTCCTTAAATTGAGAGTTCTGCAGATTTTAGAAATCCATGAGAAAAAGCCCAAGGGGGAAAAACCTGGGATAAAAAATGATCATAGAAGATGCAAAAAAGGGAAAAAGAACAGGGGGCAGGGGACCCTGGAGTACGTCTTGTTCTCAAACAATTCAAAGCAACTCCTCTTTGGGGAGAAATTTTTTTTTTTTTTTCCAACAGTGACTTTCAGGCAGATGGTGAAAGAGTTAATTGTCATAGCTGTGAGAAATTCAGTGCCAGAGAGAGGAAAGGGGAGCAACCATGGTTTAGTAGCCTAATAACTTCTAACTCTAGTCTAAGATCATAATGTATGTGCGCGCAGTCTGGTAATTATAAGGTAATAAGTGAAGTGGTGGTATAAGAGCTCTAAATTAAAAGGAATTCACAGGCCTGCTGTAAGTCAGTGCCGACCTGCTTTCTTTCAAACGTTGACTTGAGGAAAGTGCTCAGCCCAGAGTGCAAGCAGGGAGACAAGGAGAGCGAACTATTAATTACAACACTCATTAACAGTGACGGCTACAAGGCAGCAGATGCAGAAAGGAGAGGACTCTGTTGTTGGGGTTGGCGAGGGGGATATTTTTTTCTTCTGCTAGCTCTGGGGAGGGAAGGACAGCCCAAGTGGGTGGGTGAAAACATGGAGATATTTTGGTGGCTTTCTTCTTCCTGTTTGCATTCTGCACATCCCCATATTGCTTGACTGGAGTGAGCAGAGCACAGTTTCCCAGCTAAAATGTATTTGGGTGGAAGCAATCCTGTCTTCAATGCTTTGCTCTTGAGACAGCCTGCGTGGAACAGTTAGGTGAACATTCCTGATAGAGAATTCCATCTTGCCCTTCATTTGAAAGAAGCAGAACAATGGGAGAAGGGAGACCTGGCGGATAGCATGAAATTTGTACAAAGATAAAATATCATTAGATTTATAGTGAAAGAGATAATTGCATCCCTTTGGTTATACTGTGACTACTCCCCCAAATTCTAGTGAATGACCATTACACAGTGGGATTCCCATAAATCAGCTTTACACAGGGAAGCAATTATCTAAGTCCTTTCTCAACTGTCACCTCTTCTTTCTATGGTGGTCTCTCAGAAGGTTCTCAGAGGGCCTTGCTAAAAGGGGTTTTACCCTATGGCTAAGCGGAAAGACAATAAGACCAACCATATCTTTGCATTTAATTACCTTTTCAGAAATCCAATCACTTATGGGTTCCACAAAAGATGAGTGATATGTTTCTTCTAGATAAGAAAAGTAGTTTGTCAGATTAGATGCTTCATCACATTTCTTTCAGAAGATATGATGTTAATGGGGAAAAAAGTACAGGGCGGAGTAGAGGGACCATTTCAAATCTCATTTTTTCAGGACAAAAATTGATACAGTTCTACACTTCTGAATGTGACGTATTAGATTTGTTGGACTCACAGGTGTACTGAAGGTACAAATGACTTACTAATTCATCTGTTACAATAAGGGCAAACCACACACAAAAGACACAAATACATGCACATACTTATTAATCAGTGCTCCCAAGTTTTGTGCATTTAGGAAATAATCCTTAAATATTGGATAGAATTTCGTACTTGATATCTTTATATGTTGTGAAATGGCTAGGAGATAGAGCAATTTAAATAAAGAAGCAAAGCAATTGAGGATATATTCCTTATGTGTTTTAGTCAGATCAATAAAAGACACAGTTATGCTTATGGAAGCGTGCTGACAAACAGTAATTACAGAGCTAAGGATCATCTGTTCAGTCTTGAAAGATAGAAGTTTGATTCTGCTCATAATAAAATGGATGCGGAATGTACCAGAAGGTGGAAGGAAAGACTGGGTGAGGATAAATACAGTTTTAGAAATGATTTAGACTTTGCAAATCCCTGCCTCTTCTACTGATAAATTTAGGATCTCGAGGGCTGATTTATATATTGACAGTGGTTCTCCAAGAGAAAGGTAAAATAAAAGCAATTGGACCCTTTCGAGCCTTTGTTTATGGCCTGTCTGTGCTCTGTGATGTAGCCCTGTCAGGCCCTTACACTGATTACCTTCTTGTAGAACAAGAGATATTGACTAGAGAATGAATGATGTGCATCTCCCAGCCCTCAGGAAGCACTCTCAAAGAACAATGTCTTTAACATGCAAATTCTTCCTGTGGTTTTTTTTTTTTTTTAATCCTCTAAACTTTCCCTTACCTTTTCATCCTCTCCTTATTTGTACCTCAGTTGGCCTCCATGTCTGACTCTCTCTCTCTCTCCCTCTTTCTCTCTCCCTCCATCTCAGGCTTCTCTGCAGAATGTCAAACAAAGATCGACACATTGATTCCAGCTGTTCGTCCTTCATCAAGACGGAACCCTCCAGCCCAGCCTCCCTGACGGACAGCGTCAACCACCACAGTCCTGGTGGCTCTTCAGACGCCAGTGGGAGCTACAGTTCCACCATGAATGGCCATCAGAACGGACTGGACTCGCCACCTCTCTACCCTTCCGCTCCTATCCTGGGAGGTAGCGGGCCTGTCAGGAAACTGTATGATGACTGCTCCAGCACCATTGTTGAAGACCCCCAGACCAAGTGCGAATACATGCTCAACTCGATGCCCAAGAGACTGTGTTTAGTGTGTGGTGACATCGCTTCTGGGTACCACTACGGGGTAGCGTCCTGTGAAGCCTGCAAGGCATTCTTCAAGAGGACAATTCAAGGTTAGTTTTGGAGCTGCTAATACTATGCCTCTTTCCAACTTCGTGTGATATTTTTTTCCCCCTTGTTCTTCTTCTTTTTCTTCATTTTTTTTTTTTTTGTACTAGGATTTGAACGCAGGGACATTTTACCACTGAGCTAAATCTCTGGGAGTTTTTAAATTTTTCTTTGGAGACAGGGTCTTGCTAAATTGCGGAGGGCCTCACTAAGTTGCTGAGGCTGGCCTCAAACTTGTGACCCTCCTGCCTCAGCCTTCTGAATCACTGGGCATGCACCACCACACCTGGCCCTAGTTATTTTTGCAAGTCAACTTGCATGGCATTATTTCTATCTTGAGTAGAAAACAGAAATAGATTAAAATTGATTGTAGAGGATTTATAGAATAAACTCTCCCCAGATATGTTCCTGCCCATTAATTCTGCTTTCACTATTATACTCACACGATGCAAAGATAATGAGAACTGGGTGGAGTTTAAAAGAGTGTAGCTAAGATTAGAGTAACATGGATCTGTGTAACTACTGAGCAAATGCACATTAGATTAATAAGGCTTTTTATCCCTTTGAGTCTTATACATACATTGAAGTAATGAATACTTTAGTGTTTCTCAAACTTGAATATACATCAAAATCATCTGGCAATCTGGTTAAAATGCAGATTACTGGTCCCTCTCCCCAGAGGTTCTTGATTCATTAGATCTGGGTTGGGGGCCTTAGAATTTTTACATTTCCAATAAATTTCCAGATGATGCTGTTCCAGCCAGGGACCACACATTGAGAACCACTGTTTTAGACATATTTAATCACCTACTCATTTTCTTCCTTTCCCCATAGCTAGATTTGCATAAGAGACTCCTAAATTAAACCAATGAAATTTCATTGAATTATAAAATATACCTCCAACACATATAAGTGATGCATATCCAAACCTTTATAAATCACCAGGTTTATAAATAATGTTATTTCTCACAGAAAATATGGAAAAATATAACTAGTTTATATGTACTCCTTTTAAACCAGTAATCCACAAATATAGAACTCAGCTCACTTTCAGATCTACAGATACATACTGACACAAAATTAGATTTTACTTTTTCAATCTCTTGTGATACACTTTTGAAGAAAATGGGAAAAGGAAAATAAAATCATTTATTGAGATCCACAGCACCCAGAGATTCTGCTCAGTGGTTTACAGAACACAATCTTTTTTAAAAAAAAAAATTGATGCTGGGATTTAAACCCATACTTTACCACTGAGCTACACCCTGGCCTCCAAAATATATCTTCTTAACAACCAGTTGGGGCGGGCAGGGGAGGGGGCGCTGTGGTTGTAGCTCAATGGTAGAGCTCTGCCTAACATGTGGGGCACTGGGTTCGATCCTCAGCACCACACACTCAAAAATAAATAAATAAATATATAATACATAAATAAATAAAGGTTTTGTGTCCATCTACATCTATTTTTTTTTAAATACAACCAGTTGTGGACATAAAGACAATCTTCACTGATATCAGTATTCTCAAGCTTGTCAGCCCATTACTTCAATTTTTTTATTTTAAATACTGATACCAGGGCTTGTGCTTCCACATTCTGAATGAATTGATCTTAAATGTGGCCAAGAAAAAGGAGGGATTTTTAAAAGCTTCCTAGGTGATACTTAATGTAAAGTCAAGTTTGGGCTGGGATATAGCCCAGTGGTAGATCACTTGCCTAGCATGTGTGAATTCCCATGTTCAGTCCCCTTAAACACACACACACCACACACAAATGATAATAATAATGTATAATAATGTAAAGCCAAAGAGCTATTAGACTAGTGGGCATAGTGGTGCATGCCTGTAATCTCAGCTACTGGGGAGACTGAGGTAGAATTGAAAGTTCGAGGTCAATCTGGTCAAATTGGAGAGACCATGTCTCAAAATAAAATAAAAAAGTGTTAAGTATGTAGCTCAGTGGTAGAGTACTTGCCTTGAATGTCCTAGGCCTTGGGTTCCATCCTCAGTCCTTCACATAACCCTGGACCTAACAAAAAAGAAACACTGGACCGGTCTGTTCTGTATTCTGTACCAATGGTCCTTAGTGTGGTGGCTTAACCAGCAGTATCAGCTTGCATTTTGTTAGAAATGCAAATTCTTTGGCTTCATCCTGGGTTAACCAAACCAGAATTTCTGGTGGTGAACCCAGTGATCTGTACTTCACCAATCATGCCAAGGGGTTCTGATGGTCACTCTAGTAGGTGAGCCACGGTCCTCCACATTGCTGCTGATTTACTAGTGACATCTGAGCACTGTCATCTTTTGGTAACTTACTGAATATAACTAAAATTAGTCTATTTGGAACCTAAATAACTGCGTAGTGTCCTGATTTTTATGTTGCAAAAGAGGAACTGTTTGTTAAACTCTAATGCTTATAAATATTTTAACGAAAGGTGATACTGGAACCCTTTATGTACACTCACAATATTCCCCACTCTTTCCTTTTAAGAATGTCTGGCAGTTCAACTCTTTTCAGTAAGTTCTACTGAAGATTTTGGCAACTGTCAGTAGTAAATAGTTTGCACTGGCTCCCCCTTGCTTTTTGTTTTGCGTGCTGAGGATCAGACCCACAGAGCTACCACTGATCTCTGCCCTTACCTGTCCCTTGCTTTTGTGTTGCATGCTTGGTCTGTGGTTAAGAACACAGTTTACTTCAAAAGCACAATTTTTCAAGTCATTGTAACCCTATATAATAGAATGACTGTTTCAACCTAACCTCTCCATAGCCTTTCATAGGTTTTGCTGAAGAACTCAAAGTCAAGTGAGTGTGCACTAAAATGTTCTCTAAATATTTTAGTAGCAGTACTTTAATTTTTCGGACTCATCATTATCATATTTCATTAATATTTTCCTAGAAATTCTCATCCACTGGATCTTTATCTCCTTCTATAAATTTAAGGCTTTAATACCTGAGAAAAATTCCTGACAGTTGTTTTTTTTTTTTTTTTTAATAGGTAAAGGTCTAATTTTTGTCTTCAGAAAAGTTATATATGTTCACTTAAAAAAGCAAGTTAAGGCATTTTGTAGAAATGCAGCATAAAATATACACAAGATTTCAGATTCTTTAATAATCTTATTACTTAGATATTAATAGCTATGCAATGGTTGTTTGCTGAGCAATAATTATAACAGAACCATTGGAGTTCTATGCATGATTATTCTTTTGGTAGCTGCAAAGCTACCAAAAGCTTAGCAGAACAAAGCACAGGGTGATTCTTGGCATTGATATATAGTGCTCACTTTCCCTCCATATTGGAGAGAGCAAGTTGCAAGGATTCTGAGTAGGAGACAGAGATGTCACTGTCCAGATTAGCACTCTGGACTTGCCCACCTGGCTGTGCTTGTAGCTGGCAGCTGGGCAGCACTCAGTAAAGCTACCCTGCGAGCTACATCATCAGGCATCACACTGTGGTGCTTACTTAGCCCCAAAAAGCCAGTGAGGCAAATAAAGGGATTAAATTGTGAAAGTATAATGTAATAATTAGGGCGGTAATTGTAAGGAGGATTGGAACGGCCCCTCCTTGTTGTGGCCAAATAGTGATAGCGATTGAACTCCAAAGATGTTGAAAGTAGCCTGAACATATTGTACCATCACAGACTCTTGTTCCTATGCGGAAGGGGCTATGAGTCGGCTCTCATGCCTCCAGGAAGCAGTGTAGCCAAATTATTCTTGACAGATAGCCTCTCCCTCCCTTCCCTTGAAGCTCTCCAGGGAAGGAGAGGAGATTACGTAACTCCCCTTGAGAACAAGTCCTTCTTGAGTGGGACTTAGCAGTAGAAACTGTCTCATAGCTCCAGTGGCCAGGACATTACATAAGCGTGACTTCTACCTCACCAGGGCCTGGTTCTGCTTTCCTGGACTTGACTAAGGGACATGTACAGAGTGTGGCAATAATGCCTTTTGAGAATCTTTGTTTCTTCCTATGACCATTTATTTTTAGGATTGGTTATTGAATGTGTAATAAATATAAGTGTACAAAGTTAGGCAAGGGAACACTTATTTTACTGTATGAAGTATCATCAAATTCTCGAATGTAAAATAAAACCAATTCAGATCTTCAAACTTAAAAAAAAAGCTTTTAATTTTAAAAAAGGTAAATATGGAGCTAAAAGAACACATATCTAAAACATGTCTTGAAAAATAGTAACAATTTTTATTTTCAACTCTGAATGTGGCATTTTGCTTTGTGAAAGTCAGTTAATCATAGATTTTGGTAGAGTCAACTTGAAAGATGTATTTTATTTATTTGACTATAGCTTCATTGACTCGTTCCAAGTTATTATTGAGAAACAATTGAAAAGGGTTAGCAGTTAAGTAGAATTTAAGGCTTTAGATTTTACTTTTTTTTTTTTTCTGAACAAACTATTTTGTGTGTATGTGTGCTCGGGATTGAATGCAGGGCCTTGCACATGCTTGTTAGCATTTGCTTCACTATAGAACTTCATCAATGGGCCTGAAAATATTTTTAAGATACTTTTTTAGAGGATTTTGACAGTCCTGACTACCATTTGGTAGGGTTAGAATGTCAGCAATGATTTCATTGTCATTTTGTATTCATGATAATTTGAGGGGTGTGATATAGTTCTTCTGATTATTTTTTCCAATTCCATTATCGGCCTCAGTTCATAGATGAATGGAGATTTGTTTGGGGCTTCTCTTTAACAGTTTCACTGAACTCTGGTTAAGGAAGTAGGAAAAGGAAAACATCTTCATACCCCAAAGAAGTCAATATATATTTCATTATTGAATATGCAAAACATGAGTCCCCTGAAATTTTTCTTTCTATGTAAGAATAAGGAAAATCACTTTTGTTTATTTTTTAAAATTTTGTGGGTACTAATACCCAACTGCTCATTCTAGTTCTAAGGAGTTCCTCTTCCTCCACATTAAAAAAAATACCTTTATTTCATTTATTTTTATGTGTGCTGAGGATTGAACCCAGTGCCTCATATTTGGGAGGCAAACACT